AATGGCTATAATTTACAAAGAAAAGCTTGTTAGCACAACCTCAAAGGGACTTAAATGTGGAACTCACATATGTTCTCTTGCCTTATGAAACTAATACAAAATACATAAAGTGTAGATGTGGATTTGAGTATAGGTGTGAGTGTTACTGGAAGAAAAGTCTTAACCAACACCCACTCTCATACACCCATACCGTATTTAAATAAATCCATGTTTTTTCAATTATTATTCATTTTTATTTTATTCATGAGAAAAACAAGAAACTTTATGAATACCTCTCATTGTTATACTCATGACAACTTTTTCGATTTATTTGTCGTACTCTCCATATCGAAATACTGATCTATTTATAATGCATCGTTTTGGCTAAGAACCAAACCGTGTTCATCTCTGAAATCTTTCTTACGTAGCCTAGAGCCTACTACAAAAACAACAAATGTTTTATCGATAAGAAAATCACGTGTGGAAACAAGTTGTGTATGACTAACATTCTCTGAAGGTCTTAATTGGTCATCGACTTCGTCTGATTTACATCCATTGAATCGAAATGTGTCATTGAAATCGGATATTGAATTCTTATAATACTTTATTTGAAAACATATATTTAAGTCTTATGAGTATTTATTTGCTTTTTCTTAACAAAAGAGTTTTGTTCTTGTATATCAATGATTCATTCATGTTATAAGATATTAAGTACATGAAGGTCATCGACAGTAATTAAAAAATATGCGAGTCAAAGAAATGTTTCTCATTCCACATAAAATATACAAATCATCAAATGTCACTTTTAAGACCTTGCCTCATTTTAATCATTGTTTTCTTTTGCGTATGTTGAAATTCCAAAGCAAACAAAATATAGAAAAACAGGTCTCAATCATTGAATTTTACAAACTGTTTTTAGCTAAAGTTTTTGAAATAATTATTTCTTTTTCTATATTGTGAAATGATAGATTTTATTAATATTGTAGAACCGAGTCTCTCATAAGCAAAAACTTGATCTACGCAGAAATAGAAGATTTTTTTTTTGAATGATAAACACTTATTCTTAAAACTGAAACTATCTCAAACGCTTAATGATGTATGTGTCAGCGTGAGTTGACAGAGGACTCACATCCACACTCACAAATCCAAGAAAGCAATTTGAATTGAACTTTCGTTATCGAAAAAATGATTCTGAGTCTTTTATTTCAGAACTTCTAGAGTCTGACTGATATACTATATCTTTTTGATTATCTTCGTTTAAGTAGAATGGTGACTTGATTCGGCTACGTTTTTTATGTTTCCGAGCTAGTTGCCTACGACTTCGAGATAAACTAGACCGATAAATGAAATTCAAGAAAGATCATGATGTAAAACTGATTTTGGAAAAACGAAACTGTCAAGATAAGAAATCATGATAAGCTAAATTTCTTTTTCTATTGATTCGATTGATTGCTATCTTTGCGTGCATGCTTTACTTGGCTCAAGTACAGCTATGACCTAAGAAAAAAAAGATCAATCGAAACTTCAGTATCCTGTGTTGGACATGATATAAATGATTAGATTTGAAATGAAATTCAAAGTTTGAGAGAGAATCAGACATAGAAATTGTCGGATCACACTTTCATCCTGGGCATGGTCGAGCGTTAGGGAATTTCATTTTTTCATCTTGCAACATCTGTAACTTCTCAGTAATAAAAGCAAACTGTCTGAAATTTCTATTGCAAATAGTGATTGTTTAGATCTATTACCAGTAAAACTTGTATCAACATCTCTTTAGCCACAGCAGATTTGTTCAACAAAATGCTGACCGTTACGCAATTAGTATTTATACTTGTTAGAGTATAAAAACAACCGACCTTTCTTTACTTCTCTGTGTTCTCTGTAGGATTTCGAACTAGTATTGTCATTCAAACGCTTTTTTTAGCTGACTTTTTGCTGGAATATGTTCAAAGAGACAAACATTTGTTAGATGAGTTCAAAATTTGTTCTCTATGGACATTCTCCACCTAACGAACTCCATGCATAGAAAAATATTGTTTTGGAAAAAAGTCACTTACTTCACGAATAAAGACATTTACTTCTTTGAGTCTGAGCTATAAGCATCCTGCTCCTTGGAAAGCGAAAAGAATTGCACTTATAACTTTGTTTGGTATCCATGTCGTCAATCGACAAATTTTCATCGACAGTATTTTCTTGGACTCCGAGGGCACTTCAAATGTGAGGGTGAGGGTAAAGACAAAATACATTGACCTGTTCGTTCTTAACAGTTTTGTAGAAGAACTAAAGAGTCCGCAATAGGTTAGAGTGCGCCGTGAAGCTTTCTACGAAGTTTTTTTTCTTTTTGACAAACATACTATTCTTTTCAACGGTAGTCTGAAATTGTTTTATCGTCACCAAATAAGAAAAGTTAATTAGGAGACATTATTGAACTTATATTCTGACGTGAGAAAAATGAGAAGAAGAAAATAATTTAAGTTCGACGGAAAACATAGGATCCTTTTGTGTTATTGGTTACTACTATTATATCTAGATGTATATCTTGAATTCAGTCGATACCGGATATCTCAATCGACGTACGATTTCTATTGTCACTAAATCAATCAGGACGATGAAAGAAACAGAAACAAGTGACGCTAGGCAATATGATGGCAAATCCAAAGGTTTCAGTTAATATAATTCAACAATATTCATAAAAAAAATGAAGAAAATCGATAGAGTAGAAAAAATAGAAAAAAAGAAGAGAAATCTTTCAAAATCAGATATTGTGGCAGGACTGCTAAAATTGTCTGCACTTTTTTCAAGGTAATACTGGATGTTGTTGTAATATACAATGTAGATCAATTCAGGCTTTGGTCCAGTGACGTTCTACCGATTCGAAAATGACTACGTCGGGTTGATACTGTAAAAATATATCTTTCTTCAATGGAGAGTTAGCACTTGTCGCACCGTCAGTGAAGTTGACATTGTTAAAATGTCGCCTGAAATAATCGTCGAGGAAAAACCACGAAAACGAGTCACCAACAAAGAGTATTTTTTCTTTTTTTGGGCCCTTCCTATAGTAAGTAGCATTTTGCTTTGGAACAAGTTGATGTTCTAAAATATGAGACACATCTAAATTAGCCATTCTAGCTAGGTCTCCTACTCGCTTTAAGTTTCGTTGTGAAACAAAGTCTTCAAAGCGATGAGGTACAAATTGAGGATAGATGACGAGTAGTCGTTTCATCACTTCCTCATAGGCAAAAAACGCTCCAATAGTATTCCAATGGGTGTCAGTTTTAAAGTATGTGTCCAATCCGTGTAGTTTCTTTGCGGTCAACAATGCTTGTCTTACATCAACCAGTTGAAGTTTTGAATGCAATTTCATATGTTCAAAAATTTGTGCCTGTCTACTTGGGCCAACCACAGTATCATATTGCCATGGTAAGTATTCTGGATAGATTGAATGCTTGTCAGGAAGGGGAAGAATAAGACAAGTAATGTTTTGTTGAGTGCACCATATATTTTCAGTTTCCAAATTTTTTTGTATAGCCTTTAATTGATCAGGAGAATAAGGATTATATCCTTGCCAACCGGAAAGTGTCATCGGATCTGTTGGTTCAATATCATTAAGAAACAGCCAGCCATGCTTACCAATAATGACGTTTCGAACATTTGATATTCTAAACAAATTGGCGTGTAGGCGAGCGTTTGCAGCTACAAGTCGAACGCGAAATCCAAAGTTGTCATTATAGAACAAGTCAAAGTTCTTGATGAACTCATCGATCTTTCGGCTATCAAAAACTGGACGAGGGGCTAAGATTCGCTTCTCTGTCGATGAAATATCAGGAATAATGAGAAATATTCTGTTTATCTCAGGAAGAAAAATAAAAGATAGAAAAAGAATAACGAGCACCCAATCTAGCAATATTTGTTGTCGTTGAACATTTAAATCGATCATAATGTAATGTGAAATTTGTATATCTCTCTTGAAATCTAAAGTACATAAAAGAATTATAGCGTCCACTTGATATGATCATGATAGAAAGTAGAAAAAGACTGACAAATGTGACTAGCCCGAAAAAAGTTAGAGCTGACTTTGCCTATATTTGGGCACGTTTGTTTGAAAGATATTTGGAAGCATCTTTTATGACTTGAATCAGTGCAGAAAAAGTTCCAGACAATTCAAATATAGTAAAAATTATTACTACTACAATTTTTTTGTCAAGATACTATTTTGACGAAATATTCATGTGACTTTGGCCTAAGTGTAATTCGAGCAGAGTCCTAGAAAATTCAATAAAATGTTTCAGAATAGATGATCGAAAAAACACCGAATCAGATGAAATTATGGTCCATGTATATAAATGTTAGAAAACTCAGTATTTTTTGTAGCATATATGTGAATATGTTAGTTCATTCTAATCCTAAGCATATTCCATGAAATAGACTCCAAATAATAAAATCCCAACTAGCACTATACCAAAGACCACAAAGAAGAAAGACGATCAAAAGGTTCATATAGACTCGACGTTTTGAGACGCGAGAGCCACCAAGTAAAATATGCCATCGTCTCCGAAATTCTTTGATTGATCGAAATACATAGGAATAGTTGAAATTTTCAAGTAATTGAATGCCAAACATATGTGTAAGACCAATACCGATGTCGGAGTAACAGGAGAGACCGAAATAAATTTCTAATATATATATTAGCAAGTCAATCCATGGATGAGATACGTCGAGTTTTTCAAGCAGCAAATTAGACATTGTATTTGCTATCAGCATCTGTTTTTGAGAGATCGAGCGTGCATTCTACTACATACTGTGCGTATTGTTTACGATTTAGTGTTCAATTTTCAAAAGAGTTGTTGTGCAGCATCATGATATCGTACAATAGGACCAGCCATTAGTTAAGGAAAGAAGGAACAGTACAATTCTAGTGTTACTGGATTTTACTTCACTTGAACTCCTTTTCGGTATACATCAATGATATAAGAGAATACGATCATTCCCAATGTACTTAAATAATTCATGGATATCGATATGAGCATGATGATGATAATAAAAAATAAGCCGGCCAAGCTCAACCTGCCATTCTGGAGTTTAGGTTTAATTATGCAATTTATACATTGAACCAACTAAACATATCAAATAGTTTTAGACAGTTTTGGTTGAAGTCGCCGCTTATGCTTTAAAGACGAATCTATCAGAATTAATGTGCATGAGATAGACAGTCTAAATAAAACATGATAAATATTAGTGTCCTGTGGAAATAACTTTTCTTATTTTCCAATATTCGTTTTCGTTCCCATTCATCTGTTTCTGTAACCTAAGATGTAAATCAATACATAGATAGGCGCAAATAGCACGATTTAGTGGTACTTCGATTATTCATTTGATGTGGCAACTGAAAATATTCGAGTTTTGTTTGTCTATAGGTAGTGGAGACTTAAATCTATCGATGGTTTCTTAAAAGTCTTCTTTGTGACAAGAACTCTTTAGGTAGAACAAGAGAAAATTAACTGTCGAGAACATAATGATGAAAAACCAGACGAAAACAGTAGGTATGCTATAGGTTGAATATACTCGGTGAAAAACAAAAAAAATGAGTAGATAAGAATACTTAATCAGAAGAAGCGTATTCACGTACTGTCTGACAAGTTTTCCAGAAAGTAACGAAATGGAAACTATTCAAGACAAAAAAGTACGGGTCGAAAACAGAGTGTGAGTGTTTGGAACTTCTTTAGCCCACATCCACACTCACACCCTCAAAGTCGCTTTTTACTGGACGTCCTACATAGATGTTCCAAATGGAACATACGTTAATTTAACTTACATCTGAATAAGTTGAAAACTGATTTAAATTACTTTAAATCTAATTGACATCAATTTATACTGTTTGAACCAATTTAAATGGGTTAAAATTGAAGTTAAAGCAGTTCAAGTTATACTAATTCAAATCCAATTTAAATTACTCGGACTCAGGTTTTGTTCGGTTTAAATGAAGCTTAACTCGACTGAAATTATTTTAAATCGATTCGAACATATTTCAATCGAATTTAGATTAATTTGAATCGAACAGAAACAAGTTCAAAGCAATTTAAATCAAATTTCAAATTATTTCAGTTAGATTCAAATTTGTTTAGTTGTCTATTAGAAAAAAGTAACCTTTTATGTCGAAAGTATGCTATCAAATATATGCTTAAAAATACACTTACCCAGTGAATTCGTGCAGAATCTTGTGTGTCCTCTACTAGAATAGCATTGTAATTTATCGACCTTGCCGTATAAGTGAACATAAAGCACTGTACTGCCTATATATACAACACTAAATACGTTCGATTTTTGAGTATAAAAGCATATGCATACATCGTGAGATAAATGTAGCTTTTGCGCATTCATTTGTTCTTAAAACATATACAAATATACAATCGTATGCATGTCAAACAGAACGATAAAAAAAATGAAGCAAAAAATTATTTCACCCAAAGAGAGACAGATAGAGAAAATTTGTACGTTTTCTCATCTTCTTATGTTTTTTTGGAACGATTCAATTTTTATTGAATCAGTGCGAGATTGAAATTTTCGAACTACGTAATGCAATCGAAAAAAGCCTTGCATAATTGATCAGACCTTATGATATCATCATCATAATCCTGCTTTGTTGATAATGAAATAATGTTTTAAGTATTTCTATCATCATATGTAACAGTTTGATGAGTAACTTTTATCAATGCAGGAAACTCATACGTTTTACTAAATATATTAACTAGCTTCATGACTTCATTTGATGCTGTCGTTTCAAAATTTACTTTCTTTTTTACTGTTTGTGCTTTAGTACTACTTTTCGGATAATCATTGCCGATGCCATCAAGTTTTGTACATGTAACGCGAACCATTTCTAGAAAGGAATTAATCAAAATATTTCTATCATTATATTAGGTATATGAACATATGTAGATATACATCATTGAACATTATGCTATTCAAGAAACAATATAGAATACTCTTTTATGTGAGTATAAGATTATATAATCGAGATAAGTTCTTTCATGTTTTTTATCATTTCGTCAAAAACAGTATCAGTTTGAACAAACCAATTAGCAAGAAGGATACCACTGGTGTCTTAACTCACATCAACGTCTTTAACACAGTAAACACAGCCAAAACACTCTCAAGGCAACCATATAATCCTTGTTCAATTGTTTTTTTTCTTTTTCTCTCTCTCTCTCCTTTAGATAATTGCATATGACTTTGTATGTTATTGTATGAGTAAGAAATTAAATTATATTTATATAAACATCTTATATACTGTTGACGTATCATTATTTTTTATTTTGTGTTTATTGAAAAATTTTCTAGTTTTGTTATATTTAAAAAATAAAAAAAAATAGCAATGCAAAGAAGAAAAATAGTCTTTTAATCTCTCTCAATTTTAAAATGTAGATATGATTACACGCATTTTTGTTTAAAGCTGACTTTTTGGCTGTCGATCATAAGCTTTGTAAATGGTCACACACTCCATTACCAACAATCGATAATAAGAAAAATAGCTCAATATTTTTTTTATCCTTTCATATCATCACCACGCATGCACATGAAAAAAAAACACGTTGCATCATTACATTTTCTTTCTTTCTCATTCTTTATCTAAAAAGGTACGACTATTATACGTTTGATTGATACACTTCGCATTGTTCTTGACAGTTTGAATGATCATTTATCGCATTATCTTACCATTTCAAACTGCTTCATGTCCTTGAAATCGCTGAATATTTGGTGATTAATCGCGATATATTAAAACGATAATCGTGAGCATAAACGCGCTGAATCGCCGATATGTTTCTATGGTTCTAACGATTTTTCTGATAAATGGCGATTTCATGGTCAATTATCATGAATTATCATATTGACTTAATTTTTTGGATGTGATCGTGATTTCTACGGTTATAGTGAGAAGATTGAGTTACTAATTTACGTTAAAAAAAGTACTTTTATTAAGAAATTAGGCACTTATATTTTTTATATGAACAAAACATGTAACAAAAATAAAATACACTCATACGACATGTGATCCTTTATTTATAAATCAGAACACAATCGAAAAAGAAAGATAAATGTATTCATATGTACAAATTGATGTTTTAACTTATGAATTGAGTTTTTCTCTGAGCTTGTTCCAAACATAGCCGTTTTTGTTAATAAAATAATTATCTAAAACAAAATGAAAAAAGAAATGAAGTCTAAAATAAAGACTAGGACTAAAGCATGCCACTTTAAAGAAAAAAGAGAAGTTTTTCAACTTTAGATTTATCAAAGACCGAAGGATTTATCTAAAATCAAATCGACAATAGAATAACATCTAATTAAAAAATTAGCTGATCTGAAAATCTATCTGAAATCACTTATATAATCGAAAATATCATTTGAAATAAAAATAAGTAAGAATGTGAAGTTCAGTTCGATTGTTTTTCGAGATTGCCCAATCTCATTAATCTCACAGTAACAAGGGTGTGTGTGTGTGAACGTTTGTCTTCTCTTCACTTAAACTCCACGCCCACATCATACGCCGATATTCACCTTCATTCTATTCATGTCTTCTTCTTT